ACGATACTTTCAAAAAAAAAAAAAAAAATCTAAAGGCATAATTTCATTAAAAAAAAAGTTTTGACGGATATCTATTATAAAAGAGAATGTTAAAATTTCAAAAGTTATTTTCAACAAAGTCTTTTGATGATTTACATCTGGCGATATTTGGACAATCAAACTTTTTGATCTAAATCAAAAAGTCAAGAATCTTTAGCAGATCTGTTGTTGTTTATATCTGGCGACATAGGTCAACCACAAGCCTGATTGTCAATATCTAGCGATAGGTTTAACGAATCCTTGGTGGTCGGCACTAACAATGTAGGTCAATAAGCCTTACAGTCTTTGATGATCTCACCTGCAACATGCTTGAAGGTCGATATCTGGAGATACAGGTCAATAAGATTACTCGTTCTTAATTTTGCAACATAGGTATCTCATAAAATAACCATATAATGAAACTAGAAGTGCACAAACATCTCATCATAAGATTTTAGCAAATCTTCTACATCAAGGTCAAAATTAAGTCAGCCAGAAGCTGCATACATGATTAAAGTAGGTGTTTGCAACTGTAACTTTTAAAGCTTGAGTTAATGTTAGATAACATCCCGTATGTAATTCGTCACGAAGGGCATTTTTATCTTGGAAACAATGCCTTCTTTGCTTAATTATAATATCATACTTTAAAATTAAATTCATAACATTTTTAATAAACCAATTCACCTTTCTATTTATAATATAATGGTGAAAAAAGGTACGAAACGACAATGTGTTGTGTGGGCATTTGATGATGGATATTTGATTGTTTAACGTACATAAAATATTTTTTCCTGGTCGAGTATATAATATTTTGCTGCAGAACTCTAGGTTAACCCGCAGTGTATTAATCGTATTAATATTCATTCTAATCATACAGTTGGCGCTCGATATAAGAAAGTTGAGAAAAAACTTCATTATATTGATTAAAAATAAATAATATAGAAAATAAATATTTACTATCCAGCGTTTTTAAGAAGCAGTATGTTTGGGTATGTATGTGGATTTTAATTGCTTTCTAATAGCTTTTTTGTAGTAATTTTTTTGTCATACATGACTAATAATTTTTTAACAAGAATTATATCGCCTGTAATTACTCTTTTATCCGAAAGTGCTTGATTTCAAGATTAGGATACTTTGCAGCTTTATCTTTTTGTCTGTTGGTATCATTAAGATTTATCTTTATCTTTTAAAATGTTGCAAACAGCAGGTTCTGCGATTGCGAATTTTTTGACCAAGTTCTTTTCTTTATATTAATATGTGAGCGATGGGTTTCTTCCATTAAATTTACAAAGTTTTTTTTCCTCGTCCCAAGTCAAAACTTTTCTTGGAGACATTTATTAATTACAAGAAAATTATTTTTTTTCGCGACACATTACTACCAAATTTATTTTTCGTGTGATACATTCAATTGCTTTATTTTTCGCGACACTACTAAATCTAATCGCAATTGTTTTTTCATGATAACTTTTAAATTTTTTTCAATCTCATGCATAATACGACAAATTACTAAATTCAATCTCATCGAAAAAAATTTTTTGCGACAAATTACTAAATTCAAATTTTTATTATGTAAATATTAATGCAATTAAGTAAAACTTCACTATATGATTATATCGAGAGTTTATATTTAAAAATCGTTGTATCGAGCAGAATTTATATATAATGAATTGTATCGTACGATTCATTATATAGTAGGTTCAATATATCGAACATTAAAATTTATTCTTTAATTAATTGTGGTTAGTTTTAGATGTCATTTATGGATTAGCGTATTAGTCAAATACTCTATTAATAATAGTAATAGTAAATGGTTCTCCACAAATTCGAACCCTGAATAAAAAAATATTCTATTTGAGGGTTTTCAAAGTTTTTATATATAGAAGAGAAGGATAAAAATTTTCTAATTAATATATATTAATTCTATTTATATTAATAACGTTAGGGGATGAAAATATATTTTCTCTCGTAGTGGCTTTATTAATTATCTCTATTGTTATATAATCATTGTATTGTCGTATTTTTATGGGGTAATTGATGGTTAATGCTATAAATATATAAATAAACAACAAGTGGCATCTTTAAAAAAAATTTTTTTTTTTTTTGTAAATTTCTCTCAATTCATCAATATCAATTAAAAAAAAAAAAAATGCCTACTACACCAGAATCACTTACAAAATCTTTAGTAACAGATTTCGCAAAATTACTTGTAAATGCTAATGATTACAACGTACTTATTAAAGTAGGTGGCGGTGAATCATCAAACATCGCTTGTATAAAGGCTCATTCATGTATTTTACGTGCAAGATCTCCGTATTTTTATTCTGCACTATCAACCAAATGGAGGAAATTGGAGTTGGATGATAATGATAGAAATTGTATGGTATTTGAAAAACCAAATATTTCACCTGATGTATTCCAAATAATTTTAAGGTTAGTTGATGATTGGGTTGGTTGGTTAATTGATTGATTGATCGAATTGATTGATCGATCGATTGATTGATTAGGATAGATGATAATCAAAATCACGTAACAAAATTTACTCCACCACTAAAACTAAAACTACACTT